AAAATCAAGGAAATGTAAAAGAAAATCAAGGAAATGTAAAAGAAAATTAAGAAAATGTAAAAGAAAATCAAGAAAATGTAAAAGAAAAATCAAGGAAATGTAAAAGAAAATTAAGAAAATGTAAAAGAAAATCAAGAAAATAATGGACAAAATAAGAAAATAAAGAACAAACCCAAGAAAATAGAAGGAAATCCAGAAAACCAAAGATTTCTGCTGGCCCATCTCGTGCCCTGGGATTTCCCAGCCCCGCTAAAGGCCTCAGCTGCCCCTCAGTGCCATTCCCTCCTGAGTTTTGGAACAGCAGCTGACAGGATTTTAATGAGAACTGAGAAAAATCGAATTTTAATGAGACTTTTGAACCCGGGCTGAGGTTAAAAATGACCAATTAAGGCGGTAAATGAACGATGTCTGTCCCTGCCCTCGAGGTTTCCCTCACACACACAAGGGCTGAGGGGCTCGGGCACCGAGTGGTGCTGAATTATCCCCATCCTGGGTGGATGGAGGAGCCAAATCCCCCTTCCCAGCCCAATTCCAAGCGGGAAGAAGGTGCAGCTCTACCTTAAGGCGTTGTCCCCCACTCCCAGGCAGCCCCTCAGGCTCAGCTTCCGCAGGAATCCCCCACATCTCTTGGAAATGTTCTCGACCACCCGGCCCTGGGGGAGACAGGAAGGGCACCTCAGCATTCCCAAAAAAACCCCCCACAAACAGCTGGATACAACATTTGGCAGGTTAACAACGAGTTTTGTTACTTTAGGGTGCTAAGGAAATAAAAATGCCACGGAGGGAAGGATCTAAGGGAAGGGGAAGGGGGGGATTATTCAGCTTCTGAAGATGGAGAGACAAGGAGCAGTTCCCAGCCAAGGAATTCCGAGGAACTTCCCCCAGTCTGGGGCTCCTGGACATCCACACAGACTCCCCAGGGAATGGGAGGGGAGCTACACCCTGGGGCAGCAGGATTTCCAAGGGATAAACCCAAACTTCCACTCAGGAGCAGAACCAGCCCGGGAGTTTGACTCTGGCAGGAAAATGGATTCAAACGCTTGTGGCCCAAGAGACTCAGAAAAAGGCTTTTTTTATTTCAAATCTGTGTTCACTGGAAGCCTCCAAAGACCTCAGAATTTCCCTTTCTCCCTGGGAATGAAAGGAAAACCTGCTGGAGAATATCTGAGCAGTGCTCAGCAATCCAGAACCTCCCCCTGTGCTCTGGTTGTTCATCACAAACCAGGAGCATCCCTCGGCTCTCCCTGCATTTAAGAGCAACAGAAGGTGAAGATGCTCCTCTAGAATCTCTTCTCCAGCCCCCAAAAAAGCCCCCAAAACCAAGGATCAGGCTCAACACGACATAATCCCACAACCAGAGAGGGACACTGAGATCTCCAGGTGAGTTTTTGGCCACAGGAGCAGCTCCACGACCTCCACATCCCCGTGAAAAGGCTGGAGAAGCTGCAACACTCCCAGATTTTGCAATTCCCCTGGCAGGCCTGTGGATCCTGCTTGGATTAGGGGATCCAAACACGTCTGTATCAATAATTTACACCAACTGCTGGATTTAACTCCCTCCAAGCAAAGCCTGAGCACGTCAGGAAGGTTCTGGAGGTGAGGAACAACAAATCCCAGCATTTTCTTTTAAAAGGGGTTGGGTTTTTTCAGGATTTTTTGTTTGTTTTAAACAGTATAAAACATTCTGAGGGTTGGTTTTTTCTCTTCCCTTTTCCTGCTCGAGGCATTTTCAATTTTAAGACCAACCCTATGAGTGCAGAGCCCACATCCAACAGATCCAGCAACGAGGCAGCTCCAAAACTGCACCTTTTTAGGGACAACTTTTGACCTCGTCCCCCCCCAAATCATCTTCACTGAAATTTCAATTTTTGATATTAAAGACAGCAAGGGAAGGATTCAACAGACATTCAGCCTTCATGGTCTCATCAGGGAGGGGAAGGAGAAACAGCCTCAATTCTGCTCCACACAAGCAGCAGTTTTCCCCAAAACCAGGCTTTTTCTACTAATTTCTGTTTTTTCAGAACAGGCAAAACCACTTTCCTTCCATTACCCCCCTTCAAGGCTCGATGCAGACACATAATTCTGTCCATTTTCAAAAGCTGAACGGATTGCCAAGACTTTTAAAAGGCTCCCCGAAGCTGAAGAGCTGAAATTAATGATTTCTATCTCCAGGGAAGGTAAAAAAGGGTTACTCTGGGAGTATGAATCCGTTCTAGGCTGTAATTACAGTTTAACAAGGGGAAAAAGAAAAAATGGGTTTGTATGTCACTTAATGATACCTCAATGTCCCTCTGGAAATCAAACAGGTCAATTCGCTGCCAGTTACTGCCATCCAGGGCCAGAACATTCCATGCCTTTATCAGGGGGAAAAAATGTAAATGTGTGGTTAATATGAAAAAAAAAAAGGTCAGTGGGGGACCCAGTCCCAGTTTTGTTCCTTGGAGAAACAACATTCTCAGTGTCCCGGGTGGAAAAGCCAACGGGGGAATTCCAACATGGAGAACTGGGCAGGAACCAGAAGCACTTGCTGGGAGCCCCCCCCAGGGGGAAAAACTTGGAATTCCAGGTCCCCCAGGCTGGGAATTGGTGCCCCCAGGGCGGGAGGAGAGTGGAATCTTCACATTCCTGGCTGGAATTAAGGTGAGTCCCCCTCCCCAGGGGACCCTCAACGCTCACAAGGGGTTTTAGTTTTGGTCCAAACACCCGGAATCTCACGTGGTTCCTGCTGCAGAAGGAGGGGCAGGAGCCCAGGGCTGGTGATTCTGCCCTCAGTGAATCAGCAGGGAGCTGTGGGTAAAGTTTTAATTACCTAATCAAAGTAAACACCCAGATCTGGTAATAACCAGGAGCTCAGCGTTGGGAAATCAGGGATAAGTACAGGTGGATTTTCCATCCCGTGCCCTGAGCTCATCTCCCAGCCCAAAATATCAGCTCTTGGGCAACAATTAGTGCAGAGTCAGAGCAGGGGGCAGAGCTGGGCATTAACTGATTTTCTCTTTGTGGTTTGAATTGCTGATATTTGTTTGAAGGTCCACGGGAAAAGCGACAGCTCCGGTGGGAAATGCACCAGTGGCTGCACAATTCCATGGGCAGGGAACATTCCAGAGCCTTCCTGCACCTCCTGCAGGTACTTCACGTGCTGTGCCACGGGGTGAGTGATGCTGTTCCCTGTGCAAACAGGAGCAAGGGACAGTCCAGGAGGGCACCTTGACATTGGCAGGATCCCATTCCGGTCAGGACTGTCCTGCTGGAGACATGGATTTCACCTGGAAGGTCTTTCCCTCCCCAGACCTGTGTTATCCAGGTGGGAACTGCAACATCCAGGCCCCACACAGGGCCAGTTTTAATGCAGTAAATAATGCTTAAATATAAATTTTTTGTTCCAATGTGCTTTGACTGATGCACTGAGCAGTTTGTGCAGGGGTGACCCAGCCAGGACAGTGAACACTCCACTCCAACACCTCCCCTGGATGGACATCCCACCCTTCCTGCGGCGGTGCCTCCTCTGGCTGTTCCCAGAATGAACCTGGAAGCTCCAGATAATCTGACCTGCAGCTGGAAGAACTTTTCCAAGCAAATATTCCCAGTTGGATTTCACCAGCTGAAGCCCATGAAGGACAGAAACCACCCCAGACAAAACACTTTTCTTTTTTTTTCCATGCTTACTTCAACTAAATCCAGGGAGGAAATAAACTTCCACTGGCTCTGCAGCACCCCTTGTGAATCAGAATTCCTGTATTTCCACCCAAACTGTTCCAGACTCCCAGCTTTGGGGTTTCCAGCAGCCCTGGGCTCCCTGGACAAACCCAGGCTGAGGGGAGAGGTTTGGGCAAAAAAGTCAACCCCCTTCATACCTGGGACACTGGAAAATGCTGTTCCAGGCTGGAGTCCCCTTCACTGGGAATTTTCCAGCGTTAACAGGGGACACCAAACAACAGTTCAGTGGCACAAAAGTCCCTGGTACAACCCCTCGTGTGACTGGGAAGGGCTGGAGCAAGAGGACTTTGCCTCCCCAAATCCAACCCCCTGCTAAAATCCACCAGGAAAAGGAGGAAGGTTCTTACCCTGGAAACTTGAGCACAGCGACACAGAGTGACCACATCCAGGAAGGAGAAAATTCTGGGAAGAGAAATGAGAGACACCTTATTGGTTTAACACAGAGGGAACGTGGACAACAAAGGTGTGGGGGGGGAAAAGCCCGGGGCAGCAAAACTCCTTTGTGATTCAGCTGAAAAGAAGTGCAGAGGCAGCAGCTCCCAAACAGAGAAAGGGAAACACAGCAGCTCTGGAGCCACAGGGAAATGGGAACCTCAAAGCTTGGGAACCTCAAAGCTTGGGAACCTCAAAGCTTGGGAACCTCAAAGCTTGG